ATTAAGTCAAGCGACTGTCTCAGATGCAACCCATGACGGACGCCGCACGCCGCACGCCGCACGCCGCAAACCGCACAATCAGCAACCATAAAAGTGTGTCAATTTTTATGCTGCGGTACTTTGCCTTATTTACAGCTATAGATTCGCTCGCTATCTATTTAAGTGTATCCCGTATCTTGATTTAGAGTTGCTGAGCTCTCGACTTGCATTTGCTCACATATAAACGATTTCTTGCAAACATAAATTCCGCTCGTAATTAAGTGCTTTCGCAGTTCAAATTGTAATTGCAATTGAAGTTACTGTTGCTGTTGCTGCTGCTGTCACTATTGTGGTTGTTGTTGTTGTGGCTTTTGTTGACGTTTCTCTTGTTGATTGTTGGTTATTGGTTATTTTTTGTTGTTACTGCCTAATATAGTCAGTTAATGTTTGCAAACAAAATAATTGAAGCAAATAAATTCTTAACAGCACGAATGTTAAATCGTCATCTATGTTATCAGCAACATCGCTCCAGTGAGCAATCTGTTGCAGTCTATCAAATGCTCGATATCATTTCCCGCGTTTACTTTGAAAGTTGCATTTGTGCAACTAAATTTATTTAGGCTATTAATTTGATAAACGTTTGATCATTAATTGATTAAGTGAGAGATAGTCTGGTGAACATCTGTTTAAATACTATTGAGTTCACATATTCCAATCCATTTGGTATATATGATTTTCTCTTGCAAAATAATATTTTTGTAAAAAAATTAAATTCATTGTAGTCAATTTTTTAATGAAAGAGCTTACCTACTTTTGAAATAATAATTGAAATTCTGTTTACATTATAAATTTCAGCAAATATGCATTTAATAAGATAGAATAGAATGGAAGTAAACGGGGTACTAGCTCCCAACGGAGCGGAGCACTGCGACCAGATTGATCTTTTGTACTGCAACAGACCCTAACCGAACAGAAGATATTCCGCCTTCTGAATGAAGGCCAAAATGTCGACCGTTGAGGACCTCCTAATGTCAAAAGGGGAGAGCAGCTCTCCTTCTAGTGACCTCCTCCTGGCCCAGTTCTAGGCTGAGCAATTTAATAAGATTTAGTAAGGAAAATTACTATGATCATAATTCCAGTAATGAGTAGATATATGTTTACATATAATTTTTAATAAATATGCATTAAATAAGATTTATATTATAAGTGAGGAAGATTACCACTGATTATAATGACAGTACTGACTATCAATATGCCTTCATATGATTGGTTGGTTGCAGTGGCAGGCCATTACATAACTTCCATTAGATAACTATCTCAATTAGAGATTTTTCGCCGTTTTGCTGCCATATTCCTCGTAAGAACCCTTGCATAGAAGAGTAGAGACTAAATCCATCCCGCCAAATTTATGTACTTTAATAGGTCTTTCATCTTCACCGATGAACAGTCTGATAAACTATCAAAGAAGTATCTTCCTAAGAACCTATATCTTCTGGATGCCAAAGCTAGGCATTCACAGTGAAAATGTATTATGGTTTCTTGTTCTTGTGAGGATTATGGGGAATACACAGTTTCTCTGCGTGAGTTCCTATACACCAATGACCAGTAAGAACTACAGTAAGTCTTGCAGTGTTCATGCTGTGTCTTTTGATAAGTTCCGAGGATTATCGAATAAAATTATATTGATCAGTTAGACAATGTAATGTTGTATTGTTTATATTTTTAATTTTATCACGAAGTTTAAATGCTCAATCTTAAATATATTGCGTGACTACAGCGACTCTTAAAACTTTATATATTATTTTGTATGTACCAAAAGGTCTTCTTCATAGTTCGAAATTATAATTGCTTTTGATGCTTTATTAAACTTTGCATAATCATACCATTGGTCTAGTTATTTAGTTTTGTTTGTATTTAAACAGACGATAAACTACATCATATCTAGTTATTTAGGACATCACTTATAAACCCATATAATTATTATAAACATAATTATAACTATTCAGTCATCTTATTTAGAACTTATTCTTTCACCAAGGCTTTGTATTCTATTGATAAATTTATATGTCTACATTATAAACTTGTATATTTAAAAATGGAACACATAGGTTTAAAAATGATTTATCAAGAAGTGTGGATAAGTTAGCATATAACTTTACATCTTATAGAAGGATACGATGAATTTGTTTATGTTTTGTATGTTAGAGTTCTAATTGGCCCTAATTGTTTGTTAATAAAACTTTTATAACAAATTAACAAAACGTCAATTTCGAACATATGAGTCAAGTTTGGCCAGTTGATTAAGATGCGCTGACTCTAAGCTTCATAGTTGGCAGGACCCGAGTTCAGTTCCTGGTACTTGCAGTCTCAAAAAAATTTGTTTAGGAATAATAAAATACAAGAATTATTTCCAAGATCACTGATGAAGTGGTTTTATTCAATACGTGATAAAGGAATATCTACTATAATATAGAAATCTTTTACTGTATATATGAATATTCTGTAGCCCATAAGGACTTAAAATGAAGACCACATCAAAGAAATTACAAGATAAATACAGGTTAGTTTAGATAGTGTGAGAGGACAGGAGATTATTTAGAAGTTAGATTGGATTGTGAAATGGTTGGAACTTAAATTTAAGGCAACAAGGATTAAGGCGGAGAAACCGAGCCAATTTTAGTTTATTTTTTATAGAAAATATCAGTTTAAATAAATGATACGAAAAGAAACGTAATAAATGAAGTGATTTATTCATTTTATATGTTATTATAGTACTTCCTTGCACAATAGACCACCTGATATGGATAATGTTTCCACCAAATATAACAATAACAAAAATATTTTATAACTATTATTATTCTTTTATTCTTCTATTTTTATTAATAAATATTTTAGCATCTTAAAAATAATATTTTTTAAATAAAAGATATTAAATTATTTTTCAGTTATTTTGAATCAATTTAAAGTGAAATACTGCAAACTATTCTCAATTGAATTTAATAGCTTTGTAAATGAAGTTTTTCATATTCAAACCACATTGCAGAAATCATATTTATCGGAACGCAGAACGTGAAAACAAAAACTCCTTTTGTTTAGTCTTCATTATGTCAGATGTGTCAGAGACAAGGAACGTGTGCTCAAATGCTCATTGGAAAAGTAATTACTTTGTACAAGAATTTCTGCTGCTCCATGCTCTGACGACGACTGCAGTTCTTTTGCGGTGTACACATTTGGTGAGGCACACTTTTGTCTTCGAATGATGCATTCAACTAGCAAAAAAGTTAAAGGAAATCGGAGTCTAACGGTCGTTGCACCAAATTTGA